AGATTCTTCATCTGGAATAAACTGTATCAGTTTTACAAATACTAAGAAATATTGCAAAACTGCAACTGTCAGCAGGAGCTGACAAGCACCTCAGTAGATCTGGATCTTCAGATTATGGTTCTAAGTTGATAATGAATCAAAAGCAGTATGTTAGCAGAAAAGGATCACAGTGACTGCTTCCCTAAGACAGGCAAAGATCTTTGTCTGTAGACAGGAATGGTATACTCCTATTTGGAGTTTTAGGCCTAGTTTTTAGTTCCAAATTTCAGGTAATGGGAAGTGAACAATAAGTCAATACACAAAAGAGAGAAATAGCGATTGTCAGATGTCTACGAATTCATCCCTTATGAAAAGGCATGTATTATTGAAGTACACTTACTGAAAAAGAATGCTTAAAAACGAAAGTTTCTTTTTAAAAACTTAAAATATGATGAGAAAGGAAGTGATTTTTCCTTAATATACATGGTTGAAGGTACAGGAACTGATGTTCTTTGCAGCAAGTTAGCAGTGAGGAAATAACTTCTACTATGGAGTAGAAAATGTTACAGGGAATTACAGCAGTCTCCAAGACAGAGTGACTGAGTCTCAGAAATAATATGGATTCTGTTGACTTATAGTGGGTAGATTGCAACAAAAATTGCTCATGTCTAGGTATAGGTAATTATCACAGAACTGTTGATTAGAGACTATGTATGGACAAAGGAGGAATGCTGTATGCATTATGCTTGACAGTTCATTATATTTTTGAAACCATCTCCCAGGTTCCCAAGTTTGGGATCAGAAGGACTACAGGCAGAATCAGCAGGCTCTTAGATATTTGAAAATTGTCTGTAGCACAGGGCCAAGGGGCTGTAGTTAACAACTTAGTGTCTGCAGACAACTGTTATGAAAACAATGCTCCAGGGCTGGTGTTATTTGGTGTTTTCTGGAACAGCCTGGGTGCTGAGGCAGAATGTACACTGAGCTAGTATGGATAGCACAAAGTGAAGAAGGCAGACAGGGTCAAAAGTAATACTTGCAGACAAAAGGGACGTTAATAAACTTGAGGTATGGGCCAACAGAAATCTTGTGCAGTTTGTCAAAGAGAAGTGCTGAGTCCTGCACATGAGGGCAGTTGCATGCTGCTGCCTCAGCATAGTCCAGGCGATGACTGGTCTGACCTGGCCAGGACCGGGACATTGTTGTGAATTCCTTGACTACTGTATCCTTAAAAACAAGCTGCTTTGTCCAGAGCATGACCATGAATAAATCCCTGTACGTGCCTGGGGTTTTCAACTGGATTTTTTTGTTTACCAACCAAGTATTTCTGTAACACAACAGAGCACAGCAGCAGTGTCTGGAGTCACTGACGAAAGGCATATCACAATTTTTCAGAGTTGGCTTCCTCCAGAAACGCATAGCCCAAGACAATATTCAATAAATTCCTACAAGCATGTTCACATTAGATTTGCACTTGGGAAACTATGCCCCAGAGAGACCATTTAGACAAGGCAGTACTTCAGCTGCTTTTAAGTACTTACAACTCTGTAAGGGTTGGCAGAGTTCAGCTGAAAAGGTGCTGCCCAGACCAGCTCTGCATGAGCCCAGGTAACAAGAAGAGCTACTCGGTCTCAGCTGTGCAAAAAATGTGGTGCTTACAATTCTTTCTGGATTCATCTTTCTGACTTAATCAAGGGACAGTGCATCATGAGACCTGTGCTGCTTCCATCAAATGCCAGTTTAGAAAGAAGAGAAAGGATCTGAGAGAAGCAAAGCTCCTGAGCATCCGAATTAGCTGGGGTTGCTGAGTAGCTGGTTTGCTGTTTACTGTGTCTCTACCGAACTGCAGGAACAGATTTACATGGAGTGCTACTGAGCTTGGAATTCCACAGGCCACCCTGGAGCAGTTGTTAGAGCACTCTTAGGTGTTTTCCTCAGACAAGCCCAGGAATGCTATGGCCACAGCCAGATTTGCTCCACATTGTTGCCCTTGCCCCTCCTTACAGGTTATTGACCTTTCTCTCCCATATCCTATAAAAGCTTCATGTGAAGAACTGGATATTTCATTAACTTCTCAACACCCCAAACCTGATCTAGGAGTTCCTCCAGCCTTTTTTACCTGGACCTATTCAGCTATACCAGCTGTTCCAGCTGTTCAGTGAGCCTGCAAGACTTCAGCTTGTGCATGGAGGGATGGGGGTGAGGCCCATGCAAGTCTTCCTCCCAGCAGTGACTCAGACAACATGCCCACAAGACAATTCTTGGAAGATTTTGCCTCCCTGGGGATCATGTGATCTGTAAGCCACTCTACGTGAATGGCAAACTGCATCCTCAAAGGTCAGCCTAAAATGCTGGACCACAAGAGAGGTCTTTTATTGATTTATCAGTCCCTGCTTATTTTCTGAATTTGGCAGCCAGAAGGAAGTTGGAAACAGCCCAAACCAAGGCTACGGCCCAAAGTCTTATCTCTGATCAGTAGGAGTGGTTAAATAAAAAGATGAGACTCTGTCTCTCCACCTCTGACTGTCTGAATTAGCAGGGAAAGGCAGGGAAAATACTAAATTATCAGTGTACCAGTCATTACACTAAATTTGCAGTACTTGCCAGTTTTGCTTGGACAGCAGAAAACATTTCTGCACTTATGCTAATGCCAGAAGATTCCTTCCAAATGGTAAATCCACACATGCAAATATTGATTTTTGTGCCTCAGTCTCAAAATCAGAGCTTTTTGTGCTTAAAAAAATTCTTACCAAAATGATGTGTGCTGGTCTATTTTAGTATGCACAGCTTTCTAGCATGGTTTTTGTGCTGAACTGAAGGTGCTGTGTGGGCACGGGGACACAGAGAACAAAAACCACTGAGGTAGATTTAGTAGCTTAAGGACTGCCAAAGAAGTCAGATCTTGTGCAGTTTACAGTCCTGTGTGGAGGCAGGTCCCAGCTGACCCCATTTCCATGCTGTAGGAGTTGAATGTTCTCCATCCATATTCTTTCAGATATTACATGAGGAGAGTTTAACGTTTAATTTTAAATTTTCCTAATGAGTATATTTGATGTTAGATTGTATTTTTAATTAGCAGAAGGATAAGAAGGATACTGTATTGAAATTGCAGCCAAGCATAATAAAGCATTTGGAATAGACAGTTTAATCACTGTAGAAATAACATTCTCATTACTGGTCTCTATATGCTCAATATCAGTGCTGCCCCCCTGCCCAGTCCCTGGGAGGGAATAGGTTAGTTGAAATCATCTCAAGCCTGTAACTATCTCTAAACTTTCACATTTTTTCTCCAGTTTTCACAAGTTATATTGGGCTGATTCACATGTACACGGCCCATTCTCCCCACCTCTCATTTTCATCTGGCTTGCTCAGGAAGAAGTTAGTCTTTGTTCGTCATCTGAGGAAATCTGATGATTCACTGGTGCAGCTCTCTTGTCTAAAACCATGGTAACCCTTCCGTCTCCCTGATGTTGAAATAAGAGCAGTTTTCTTTTCAGTGTGTTATTCCTCCAGCTCATTGAGGTTTTGCCTATCCCTTCTGAGCTCTCCTCGCTTCTGGAATATGCTGGTCTGTCAAAAGTGCTCAGGTTTTCAGTGCAAGTGAAGAATTTATTTCTTTCCTTCAGATGCAATCTGTGTTTTTAGCATGGCAGATTTCAAGAGTATCAATACAGTGCAAAGCAGGGATCTGTACAACCTGCCTCTTTCACAGAGGTCTTAGTGCATTTCCATTCTTCCTTTGTGAGTGACACAGAATATTTTGAAGGGAGAAGGAAGCACCAGATGCCAGTGGGTGGAAAATAAGGAATATGAAATCTTATACAATACTTACCCTAAATTCAAAACTATTCATTTGAAAGTACGAACATATTTGCAGCATTTTATTCATCTATATTCTTAAAATATTATGTCTAGCAATATTTTTTTTACTTATGTTGACCTAAATTCAAAGTAGCTTATGAATGATTTTTAAACTTTAACACTTTAAAAGGGTACATAGAAATTATGTTTGCCTTTCATACATAAAAGGACAAGAGAAGACCAACAATTTTTTAGGTATCATTTTTTCAGTTGTACCAGCTCAGGATGTTTTTACATTATGACTTTTGGAATGTCCTAATACCACACCTGACTTTCAAAGAAGGTAATTCAGAATATCTTTTGTTTCCAGTATTGATATAGAAACACACACGCATGAATGCACACACACACAAAAAGATAAAGATTGAAAAGCCTAATCTATAGTAAAAAGCAGAGTAATATTTTTTTTTTTACTAATCAAAGAACAGAAATTTCACTCTATAGTTATAATAAAGGTCATTTTACAAAAAATTAAAACCCAAAAATTACCCCTCTGCAGTAACTCAAAATGAGCAGAATTAGGAGAAGTCACAAACTAATATAACTTTAAGACTATAAAAAAGATTCTATTTCACCTTCTGATTAATATGTGATTACAGAGAAAAAATTTATTTGTAAAATTGGAATATTTAAGAAATGGGAGGTGAAGATCAAAATAAAGAAACCAATAAAATCAAATGTTATTATGAAAAATTATTTAAAGCTGTTTAGATATATCAAATCATTAAAAAGAGTAAAGCAACGTTTACAGCACTTTAAATACAAATTAACCAAAAGTATTAATAAAAGATAGAATGAAAATAAAGAGAATTTGGAGTGAATCACAGGAACTCCTGCTGGTGCACCAAAATATAGTACGCGCAGATATGCAAATGGTTTATACAAATCTGGGGATGGCGGGGGGGAAAGCTTTCCAACTGTACGAATATGCACATCGCTGGACGTTTTTTCCTGGAGGAGATTCATTCTTTGGTTTACTTGCCAGACTTTACATCTTCCTAAACACGTAACAGCAAACGACGTTTCATCATCGGTGACGTAACAGGGAAATGGCGGGAACCCCGCCCCCTCCCCTTTGCAGTTTCCAACCAGGTCGGACCGAACACCATAAAAACCGCGGCGCGGCTGCCGCTCCCTCATACCGGCGCTGTCGGCAGTAGCTGCGGGGTGTCGTCATGTCTGGCCGGGGCAAAGGCGGCAAGGGGCTCGGCAAGGGCGGCGCCAAGCGCCACCGCAAGGTGCTGCGCGACAACATCCAGGGCATCACCAAGCCCGCCATCCGCCGCCTGGCTCGGCGCGGCGGCGTCAAGCGCATCTCGGGGCTCATCTACGAGGAGACGCGCGGCGTGCTCAAGGTCTTCCTGGAGAACGTGATCCGCGACGCCGTCACCTACACGGAGCACGCCAAGAGAAAGACGGTCACGGCCATGGACGTGGTCTACGCCCTCAAGCGCCAGGGTCGCACCCTCTACGGCTTCGGCGGCTAAAGCCTTATGTTCACTTCGGACTGCAGCTAAAAAAACCCAAAGGCTCTTTTAAGAGCCGCACACTTAAACTGTAAAAGAGCTGTGTTGCTTTAACGTGATTTGTCAGTTAGTTTAGCATTTTAAATCCGTAATTATTTACCAGTTATTTCATATTATTTGCAGAAAGCACTTAATTTAACTGTTTGTCACGAGCTTAATCTTGCTGTTAACAGGCTGAGGGCCATCTTAGTTACTTAAATGTTCTGTTTAGGTCAGTGTGTAAGAGACCTAAAAAACTACCAAAGCAACCTAAACGTAGCCTCCTTTTCCGTGGTGACGGCTTAAAGGTGTGTATCTCCCTGCAGGCATCTCATCTCAGGGATTTTCCCCCTTAATGTGTAAACAGTAAAAGTAGATACCTATTTATATTTAAATAAAGTTAATATCGATTGTAGTGCAGGATGAGAATTATCCGCTCCCCAAGTCCCTTTTTAATATTTTAAAAAGGTCCCCTTAGTCCTCTGAATATGATGTATCGGAAATTGTCCATTATTTGCTCTTTCCCTGAGTTTAAGGTTAGGAATACACTTCCTTTTAATTCGGGGTGCCAGAGGTGTTCTCCGTACGTGCCTGCTTTTCACCTGAAAGCCCTTCTGATCGGGCTCCAAAGACAGCTCACACGAGTAGGGCAATATTGCACAAATATTCAGTGAGGAAAATGAACATTCACCTGACGCCTTGCTGCGCTTCACCAACAGCCTAAGGATTCTTTGCATGCGGAAAGATCCAGTAATTTGGACGCACTCTCCCTTGGGCTAGGAGACTTGCATTTACAATTAATTTTGATCCCAAAACATTTACTCTGCCAGGTAAAAGTTACACAATGTGGAGCACAACCTCTCCTGTCAAAACTCCCTCACAATACGCAACCCTACTCACCCTGTAGTAACGAAAATCCAAGCCCAAAAATACTATTGTGATTCTTATTCCGACAAAAAAAAAAAAAAAAAAAAAAGAAAAAAAAAAAGACAATTAGAGAAAAAACCCTTATGAATTTTCTATGCATTCAGCTCAGCATAATTTCGGTTTCTCATTTCCCGTTTGAACATTTCTCCGTAAAGGTGTCATTTTTGAGGGAGACGGTGAAAATTGCGATAAGAGATCACCCCTAAAGCAGAAGCGGCCGGGGTGGGACCGGGCCGGGGCGGGGTCGGGGGGCGCTGAGGGGGGACAGCCGTTGGTGAAGGCGCGCGCGTTCGAGGCGGGCTTTTTGAATTTGAAAGTACCCAATAGGAGCGGTGCAATCCTAGCAGCCAATCAGGGAGCTGTGCAGTCTATAAAAGCAGCCGAGGCAGCACAGCGCGCTTATTTCTTTGCCTCAGGTTTCGGGGTTCGTACCGCGTTCCTTCAGCGATGGCGCGCACGAAGCAGACGGCGCGGAAGTCGACGGGCGGCAAGGCGCCCCGCAAGCAGCTGGCCACCAAGGCTGCCCGCAAGAGCGCGCCGGCCACGGGCGGCGTCAAGAAGCCGCACCGCTACCGGCCCGGCACGGTGGCGCTGCGCGAGATCCGGCGCTACCAGAAGTCCACGGAGCTGCTGATCCGCAAGCTGCCCTTCCAGCGGCTGGTGCGCGAGATCGCGCAGGACTTCAAGACCGACCTGCGCTTCCAGAGCTCGGCCGTCATGGCGCTGCAGGAGGCCAGCGAGGCCTACCTGGTGGGGCTCTTCGAGGACGCCAACCTGTGCGCCATCCACGCCAAGCGCGTCACCATCATGCCCAAGGACATCCAGCTGGCCCGCCGCATCCGCGGCGAGCGCGCCTGAGTCCCCTGCCCCCTATGCACTATAGGTGATCCTGGATTTTCCCCATACCTTAAAGGCTCTTTTAAGAGCCACTACATGGCACAAGAGAGTTGAGACACTGTTTTCCTTACACTTTCTTAAGAGACTGACTGAACTTCTTAAAGGATACTGCAATTCCAATGTAAGCATGCCGGTAATATGTAATCAAGCTGCTTTCCTGTTTTAGGCAGTTGCATGCTACTTTTAGTGAGGTCCTTTCCAATACCCGTTCAACTGTACAGAATAAGTAAATTGCACAAAGCCAAATGAGTGTTCAAACACAGTAAATGGAAAATACCATCCTAAGTCAGATAGACCACACTTACTTTTCCCTGCCCCTCCTCCCTCCCCCCGCCCCGAACTTGATGCTTTCTGTAAAACAATCTACTTGGAATAGTCGAGGTTTACTTTAAAGCACTGTGGAAGTTTTAACCTGAGTTAGCATTAGAAGAAAAGCATCAAGTTTCAAACTGTTATTATTAACTTATACTCTATCACTACTGTTACTGTGATGTACTCTTGAAATTTTAACTGGATATCCCAGATATCTACCTCTATCACTTGACTAAAACAGAAGTGCTAAGATTATAGGCTTGATAATATGATTAATAATTGAGAAAGTCAATAATTTAGTCTAATTTCTTTTTCCTTTTTTTTTTTTTTTTTTCTGTGGGGGGGGCGTGGTGGGGTGAGGGGGGGGGGTAGATATGTTCAGGCTGAGGACAGGCTGGAGAAGATGACCAATGAGTTCCAGGAAAGGCAAAGAGAATCTGGTGGTTGGTTGTTTCTGACAAGTCTCCTCTTCTATTTTCTCAATACATGGAGACGGCTGGCACAGAGAAAATTTTGTGGCTTCTGTTTGGGACCACATCAGCTGAGGAAAAGAAAACAGCTGTCAAGGCTCGGCAGATTTATACAATGGGAGACGTGTAGGAAATGGGCTCATACAGTTTTGAGAGTTAAAGACAAGTGTTTTGTATTCGATGACAAGAAAACTGAGTCAGTAGAGGAACAGGCATGGGGAGATTGAAAGACAACACTCAGCAGAATTTAGTTGATCCAATAAAACTTTGTAGTCAGGAAATTAAAGTTGGGCTTTAGTTTCAATTTTTGGTTGTGCCAAGTCCTACAGACTGGCACTGTTTCAGTATTTTAGAGAGGTCAAGTTTTCTACAAATTCACAAATAAAGCACTGAGCTTTTTATTGATTTTGCTTCTTTGCTGTCACATCATTTGTCCTTGACAATGGACTCCAGCCTGTCCAAAATCCTTCTCTAAATGTTACCAGCCAAATTATTCTGAAATTAAAATTCAAGTATTTGAATATGGCATGTGGGAAACGCTGTAAGAGGTTTCATATGGTATTTTGCTGAAACAATACACACGAGGTAACCGTGATATATACAAGAAATACTCATACCATAGCGATGTAGGTATGAAAGTAAACATAAACATATATATGTAAATGTAATATACCACTATACACACCTTCATATTCTCTTTCTCCATTCATAAATTTCAGATCCATCCATCTTTTTCACTCCCCTCTGCCTCAGGATCATTTGGAATGCTTTCCTGCAGTTCTGGTATTATATGGTGTATTAAAGAATAGAAACTGTTTCATAGCTGGTACTAGATGATCACTCAAAGTCCCGTCTAGTTGAAATTATTCTATTGTTTTCTATTCTTTGGTTTGTACATCACAACTTGCAGAGTAAAGGGTGAGAATTTATACATAGCAGTGTTCCTGCTGGAAGACTACAGAGACTGTGCCTAAGTGTAATTATTATTATAGCATTAAAATTAACACTATTTCTGCCTACTCTTTAAGATTTCTGTAGCCTCCATCCTACTTGTTGCTACACACTTGTATTTGACAAATGACTTAAACTTCATAACTAGGCCCAAATTCGAGGTTAGCAAAAGTTAAAAGGGCTAAAACCTTAGAAGTGTTGCAATTGTAAATAAAGAGGCAGGGGTCACTGGCGCCTGCTTATAGTGCACACCTGAGCTCTAGAAAGAGCCTTCCCTGATACCAGTGTATGGAAACTGCTCTTAAAAGTGAATGAGGAAATTCTTCATAATGGCTGGTGAGGTGTTAATATCTTCTCTGTGTTTTCAGGCCATATTTCAGTGACATCCAAGTAAAATTGCTAAAAGGGACTGGGTAGGATCTTACAGCATTGACATGGTGCTACTTGTTAGAAATAATACAGAATTTATTTATTTATTTTTCTAGTTAATGTTAATATGCTCTATTACAACTGAAGCAGAAGGAAGAAAGAAAGGCTGAGGTTATCCTTTTGTTTATTCTTATCTCTGACTTTTAAAAGAACATGGAACTTTTATGGCCTACTGAAATACTTCCCTCTCTCCCAGGCTGTAAGTTAAAATTTTCTTATCACATCATGCTGCTCAATCAAGATAAGGAGAAATCTTCATCATGCTACACTATACAACTCTCCTTCCATTCCAGCCTTGCTCCAAAATCACGCCATGGTGATCAATAAATTCATTCAGGGGGCTTTATGTGGGAGGAAGAAAAAAGAAGGGAGAAAATTAAAAAAGGGATAAAAGGCAGAACCCCCCAAACAAATATTTATCCTATCTGATTGGTAAAGTCTACAAGTCCTTCTACTTTCTTTTCCCAACCACCCAAGTGCTGCCTCTGGCAGACGGTGTCTGTAGGACAGCATCTCTAAGCAGGCAAATAGTGCCCAGAAGCCTCTAAAGACTACAGGTGGCCACTCTGGCTTCTAACAGCAGCCTTCAAGTGCTCTCCAGTCCTCAAGACTGTGGCATCCCAAGTACCAGATGTGAATTTTTGCAGCTGGAGAGAAGAAAGGGAAAAGAAAGAGAGAAGATAATTCCAAAAATAACTGGAGATACATCAGCAACTAATGAATCCGAGGTTTAATTTTGAACTCCTTCTTTGGATTCTCAGACTCTTGTTAGACTGACCTTGCCTCATCGTAAGAAATTGAACAAAGGTGGTCCCTTAGAAGGCTGAAAACTGCAGGTGTATATATATCTGTACATCCAAAAACTCATGAAGAACGCTGAAGAACTGGCTGCAGAAATGACAACTCAGCAGACATCATAGACAGTGATCACTACCAGAGAAATGCAAGTTGAAAGACAAATACATTTACTTTCATTAGGGCAAGAATACCTAAATTCTCACATGATTTTTATAAAACTTATTGAAAATACCCTCTCCACAAAAAAAAAAAAAACAAAGCAAGCAAACTAAAATCTACAACCTTATCCCCCCCATTTTGTATTATTATGGTAACAAATCTGGAAAAGTTTGGTAAGTTACTCCTTTCTACAGTACTTTTCAGACACTTTCATGGCCTTTTCAGTTACTTTTCTGTGCTGCAGAAAGTCTCATGTCTTGTGCCATCAGCACGGTAGTCCATTGTTTTAACATCAGGTATAACGATATATATCAAAACTCAGATAATCAAAACTGATTTATTGTGATGAATATTCTTGTTCCTGGCATTAAGAATTGTTGGAGCAAGGCAGCAGCCCCCTTTAAGGCAATCTCTTATCAGTGAGGTTTGACAGTAACATAGAACAGTTAAACAGGAAGTTTCTTCTCTTGCCTTGAACCAGCCAGCCTGGGCTTAAGGTGCAGATTTCCTGAGCACAGGCAGACCCCAAACACAGGTGCCTCCCTGTCAGCACCCTCCACCTCACCTTTTCTCAATGTAAACCCCACCATCCTGCATGAGGCTCTCTAACCCACCTTCTTTAAAATTGTATCAGATTTCCCCCACCTGCTGTTCTTGGAGCACTTATTACTTTCCTATTTTGCAAAGCATCCTGAATGAATTTCAAGGGAAATTAGAAGCAGTGCTACAGCTCTTTTCGATGTGCATGTAGTGGCTCTTAAAAGAGCCTTTGGGTCTGTGTTAGCTAGGCAGGAGACTCAGGCGCGCTCACCGCGGATGCGGCGGGCCAGCTGGATGTCCTTGGGCATGATGGTGACGCGCTTGGCGTGGATGGCGCACAGGTTGGTGTCCTCGAAGAGCCCCACCAGGTAGGCCTCGCTGGCCTCCTGCAGCGCCATGACGGCCGAGCTCTGGAAGCGCAGGTCGGTCTTGAAGTCCTGCGCGATCTCGCGCACCAGCCGCTGGAAGGGCAGCTTGCGGATCAGCAGCTCCGTGGACTTCTGGTAGCGCCGGATCTCGCGCAGCGCCACCGTGCCGGGCCGGTAGCGGTGCGGCTTCTTGACGCCGCCCGTGGCCGGCGCGCTCTTGCGGGCAGCCTTGGTGGCCAGCTGCTTGCGGGGCGCCTTGCCGCCCGTCGACTTCCGCGCCGTCTGCTTCGTGCGCGCCATCCCTGCAGCAACAACCGCTGAGAACGGAAAGGAACTGAATGCTCGACCGCTTTCAGCGGCGGTATTTATAGAGCAGCCACGTCTCTGATTGGACCGAAAGAGGCGCGATCTCATTGGCTGCCGTGGGATCCCAGCCGGGCCCGCGGTGGCTGAAGCTCTGCCCGAAGCCTCTCGGCCCCGCTCCGACCGCGTAACGCGCTCGGTGTGGATCCGGGGCCTGGCGCGAACCGGGAATTTCAGACCCAGTGCTCGTATCCTTTCTGCTTCTCCGGCTCTGCATCTCTGCCAGTCTCCTGACAGATTGAAAACAGCGTAGAGGCTAAAATTCAGCAGGTTTTTTTTTTTTTTCCCACTTCATTTTTTCCTTTCTTTGTGTCTTTGTTTTTGTTTGCTATTTTTAATGATGGGCTGGTTACAAATGAAGGAAAACGCTTTTTCAGTGCTGTACAGAGCTCCTTACGTGAATAGGCACGTTATACCCAAAGACACAAAGGATAGATGGGCTGGTACTTTGAAAGAGAGACACTTAAAAAAATCCAATATTGCAAGTTTGTAGCTATGATATTGCACAAGCTGTAGTGACCGAGACAATTTGAAAGCTACTGTTCTCACGTTTTTCGTGTTTTAATTTCCCGAGGAAATCCGGCATGCGTTAGGCCATTGAATTTTTTTGTTTGTTTGTTTGTTTGTTTGTTTTTTTTGTGAAATTAATTGAAAAGGAATATGGTACTGGTCTCCTTTTTAATGCACCCTTACCCATGAAGGTTTGAGAAAACCAGACATGACCACAAATATTTATTGATATCATTGTTTGCAAGTGCGAAATGATTTTCAAAGTTTTTATATAAAATTAAAATCGGGTTTTTCCTTTCAGTCATGAAGTACAACAAAAATATACTTAATATGAGACCAGGACTGGAGTTCTCTTCATAAGTGAAAATGAGAAAAATGCCATCACAAGCCTTCTTTTGATACATTTTTCACCAAAATGTACTTCAGGGTTCATAATTTGCTTTTATTGTTCAGTCCCCTCCCATCCCTTCTCCCTCCCAGTCACCCTCCCCCCCAAATGATCACTAAAGACAGTATTAGATTTACTTTTTTTATTTTAGAAGTAAATAAATCAGAGACAAGGAAATAATGGGGGGTAAATATGAATATCAGAAAGAAAATTCATCACAAAGCAAATTTCTATTTTTCCCTAGTCGAAAAATTCATTCAAATTTCTTTCTACTGAGTTAAACACAAATTTTAAAAAATTAAGGCATGGAATAACATTATACATATTGCTTAAATCAGCGAACATTTAAAAAAAGTTTTAATTACAGTCACTCAAGTGATTTTTATGCGGGTTTGGAACACAAAAAAACCACATCAAATGGCAAAGACGAATTCCCTGTTACCACCCAACTTAAACATTTGACACCCCCCCACAAAGCATTAGTATTGCATTAACAGTTCTGAAAAGAGTCTGGTCTTCAAATCTCTCCAACTTTGTAACACAGCTCTTTTAAAGGAATACGTGGGTGGCTCTGAAAAGAGCCTTTGGGTTTTTTGTCACGGTGGTCCGAAAGAAGCGCAAAACTTTAGCCGCCGAAGCCGTAGAGGGTGCGACCCTGGCGCTTGAGGGCGTAGACCACGTCCATGGCCGTGACCGTCTTCCTCTTGGCGTGCTCCGTGTAGGTGACGGCGTCGCGGATCACGTTCTCCAGGAAGACCTTGAGCACGCCGCGCGTCTCCTCGTAGATGAGCCCCGAGATGCGCTTGACGCCGCCGCGCCGAGCCAGGCGGCGGATGGCGGGCTTGGTGATGCCCTGGATGTTGTCGCGCAGCACCTTGCGGTGGCGCTTGGCGCCGCCCTTGCCGAGCCCCTTGCCGCCCTTGCCCCGACCAGACATGACGAGACTCCCGCAGTTGCTGCCGACAGCGCCGGTATGAGGGAGCGGCAGCAGCGCCGCGGTTTTTATAGTGTTTGGTCCGACCTGGTTGAGGACTGCAGATGAAGGGGGCGGGACTTCAGTCTGTCTCCCACCACCTCCCCGCTGTGTCTATGGCGAGGCCCGCGAGCAGAAAATCCCATGATTTGTGTGAATTTCCCTTCTCCGAGGCACAGTGGGTTCGGTGTTTCGGTCCCTCTTCGGTGCATTCTTGTGTTTTAGATAGCAAGGACAGAGTGTCTGGTTTATTATAATGATTCATGTATTTTTTTTTTTTAAGCTTTGATATTTCGTGGTAGCTTAGAAGCAAAAGCTCATTCGTAGAAAGTTACCCCACTTATTGATTCACTTAAATTTTGCTCCGATTTGTTATTTTCAAAGATTAATATCTGATGTATTTTGGTTTCACGTGCTTGCATGGATTCTTCTGAGCCGCTTCTCTGTTTATACAGTTAATTCACTTTTTAAAAATAGATAATCTTGCAGTGAATTCTGCCCAGTCATGTTTCTGAGAAATGCTATCCGTCCTCGTTTTTTTCTCACATCTTATTTTCTCGCCATCTCTGAATGTTATCTCAAGGTGAATTTACCAGTACGGGTATGCTAATTGAGACTTTACATGTTTCAGTTTAATTTTTTAAGGTAAAAGTATTCTTTCGGACGAATATTTTTACAGTATTTTCCAGTGCGGTGGTGCCATAAACAAGAGCATGTCTATTTTTAGAGTAATTGAAAAATTAAATACTTTAAAAGGGTGATTTTGCATTTCTGGGGTATTTAATAATTCCAGTTCGGTCTCTTTAGCGGAGGAAAATGTTCTGAGATTTTGCTGTTGAAATCCAGCTCTATTTAGCAAAAATTATTTAGTAGATCATTTTCGACCTGAAAATTATCTGGAACGATAAAAAAGGTTTCCTGTATTTGGTGTTTGCTGCCCTCTCATGGACATTTTCTTCTGTCTTTTGCTGTCTGTTTGCTTAGCAAAATATCAGAAATAATTTGGAAAAGGACTTAAAAAAAAAAAAATTAGATACATGCTTGTTCATAGCGTTAGTTTTTTAACTCATGACAAAAATACACAACTAATAAACAGGACCAGCTTTTGAGCTGAGTTCCTGCTCTTCTTTGCTCACAACTGATTCTAAGTTTTACATTAAATATCATCTGTTCTGTGAGGTATCATTGATAGAATTAAAAAGTAATTTAAGATCCATTAAAAGAGACATTCAAAGATCATACATACTAACCTCTGTTGCATTAGAGTATAAATACTTGGCAGAAAATTAATACCCTTGCATTCCAGCTGGTCCTCAGAGATCAGAGGGGCTGGGTGCAGCTGGCCTTAATTTCTGATTCCTGCAAATTCAGCACCATAAGCCTAATAGTGTAAAATAGGAAGTATGATTCACAAATAGTGCAGTTTAAAAATTCAGCTCTATAGATCCAGTTGCACTGAAGAAGAACTGCTGTAATCACCGACTGGAGAACAAAGTAGTTTATTGAAGAAACTGAAGTACAAATTCAGAATTGCCAGTGCTAAATGCACTTTGACAGAGCTCCAGCAAGAACAATAATGTTGTGTTAACCCAGATATTATTGTTGTTGTTGTTGTTGTTGTTGTTGTTATTGCTATTATTATGTGATTAAGCTTACCAAGAAGGCCTGCCCAACTTGGAAGAGGAAGAGGAGAGTAACCTGTTGGCTGTCTCCAAGGTCTTTTTGTCTTCTTCCCAAACAGGTTAAATTTCTACCTTCCTTATATAAAACATAATCTTATCCCACTCTCCCTCTTTTGTATTACATGATATAGGTGGAGAAGTGAGTAATATAGCCACATATGTGGTAGCACATACTACATAAAAGTTATTAGTGTATGCAGTAACATGCAATTTAATATATAACTGACTTTATTGGGCAAAAGTTACTTATTTTGCCATGTGTCCTTCAAAGTTCAGATCATGACTTTGTTCCATTTGTGCTGTTCCTCAGAGCCAAAGCGTGACCATCCTATCTTCACCTTCAGCCCAGTCATTCTCTCTTGACATCAACAAGGCAGCTCCCAATGTGCACAGATAACAGCAGGTACAGTGCAGGCCATAGGCAGTGAGCTACAGCCCTGGCCTTGGCCCTTGGTTGTCATCTCACACCTCGGTGCTGTAGGCAAGGACATTTTTTACTAGATCAAGATTCAATGTTTGATGTAAGCCATAAACCTATTATTATTTTTTTTACATTTCAATTCTTTCATAGCTGCTGGCAGCTCAATCCTGCAGTCACTGAGGTTTCACTGATGTCTCAGCAGTTCATGCAGGACTGATGAACAAAACTCATACGGCAATGGAAGTGCAAAGAGATCAACAAAACTATATGTGCAAAATGAAAGTTAGAATACAACATCACTCTGAATCTAGAAATAATTGTCCAAAATTGAGTATGGAGAGTGATTGGAGATCCCAGGAGGAGTCACATGGTTTATGCTTTGACAGCATAATGTAGAGGAGAGATCTCAAATTCCCACAGAAAAAAGTATTTGATAACCCTGTGCCCAGCAGAACGCTGGATGCATTGTGATCTAGATAGCAAAAAAGAAACTTGTGGAAAGAAAACTGTTGCATAATATTACTATGTCAAAGGTGTCTAGTTGAAAAGTGGCTCTGTACCCAAATTCAAGCTGGTTCAAATCTCTACTGGCAAGCAAACAGCAGAGAACAGTTCTGGTATTAATGCTATTTATGTTGCACCCTGCCAGACTCCACATCTGGTGTCCCCAGCTTCCTGCCCGTACATTGTAGATATTTCAGAACTGAAAACAGTTTCTTCCTTTTGAGAACCTGTAAAGTAGTCTTGAAACGTACATAACTCACATTTTACAATTTATTCAGCCCAGGATAATAGGAAGATTTTTTTTCTGCCTGATTCAGCTGTCATGGTTTAGTACCAGCCCAACTAAGCACTGTGCAGCTGCTCCCTCACTCATTCCCAGAGATGGGGGAGAAAATCAGAAAAGTGAAAAAACTTTGTGGCTTGAGATAAAGACATTTTAATTGGTGAAGCAAAAGCCATGTATGCAAACAAAGGAAAATTAGGAAGTAATTTCATCACTTCCCATGGCAGGCAGGTGTTCAGTCACCTCCAGGAGAGCAGGGCTCTGTCACACCTAATGGTGGTTTGGGAAGATAAAAGCCATCACTGGAATGCTCCCTTTTTCTTCCCCACAACTTTATCTGTTGTGCATGAGACTGTATTGTTTTGAATATCCCTTTTGGGATATTTGGGATATTGGTATTGGAACCAGCTGTCCTGGCTGTATCCCCTCACAGCTCCTTGTGCACTCTGAGACTCCTCATGGGTGAGGGGGTGTGAGAAGCAGAAAAGGCCTTGGATCTGTGTAAGCACTGCTCAGCAATAAAAAAAAAATACCCCTGTCTTATCTACACTGTTTCCAGTATAAAATTTAAACATCTTTGTGCCTGAACTAACACCATTTGCTTTTTATGGAAGTCTAGCTTCTAATTTTCGCTCAGAAACAGAAGATTTCTAAATAAACTAGTGGGATAGTTTCACTTGCAATAAAACTCCACATTTTATTTTTTTTGAGAATTGAATCATTAAGGGAGACTTTTATTACTTTTCAAAGACATTATGAGGCCAGGCAGAATAAACTCTTTCATCTGACAATAACTACCGTAAAAACATAGACATACACAAGAAGTACAGGAATAACATAACCCATTCAGAGAGAATGAACGCATGGAGAAACATATGTTTGAAAATTACCTGGTTTTGTGGTAATCTGACAGGGAATTGGGCTATGTGGTGACAAATGCTGATGAAAAATTCTGTAACTCCCATCATAAGAAAGTATTCATCAGTAGAAAGTGATTTATTATTCTGGGGGGAGTAACTTAAACAGAATTCTTGACAGGTTCTTATGTCTGTTCTGCTATATGTAGGCCTTGATCTAACTCAGTGGTTCATTTGGAATAATTGGAAAATCACAGACTTTTGATATTGACATTTACTAAGTACATCTGTGAAATAAACAGCTGACCAATGAAACCAGGTTTTCCTTGTAATAAAAATTGCAGTACTGAACACTTGTGTTTTTTTATGTTTTTGCCTTCCCTCTAACTTTGGGGCAGATTAGCATTTAATCATAAAGTATATGCTTTTGTTTTTTGTCGAAGTATGACCAGATACTAAACACAAGCACACCTCAGAAAATACTGAGCAGAGCTCATGTATTTTCTTTCTTTTGCCAGTATCACGAGGCATCTTAACATGCTTAATGAAAAAAATTAATGACCAAATGTCCAAAAAATCTTATGGAAGAGTGAGATGTATTCCCTCTTCACTGCAATCATAAATCGCACAACTGAACCTCATTCCAGTAGGTTAGCAAGGAATTTGAGCCATGACAGCAAAAGAGTAACCCCTGAGTTTTTCTTAGCATATCAGCTTTTCTTATGTCCAGAATAGGAATCTGCTTATTAGGTAGAGAAGCCTGCTGAAGGTGATGTGGGATCCTGAGGGACAGACAGACAGACACATGTCAGTGAGTTGGTAATTTAACATAAGCTGTTTCTGAGGCAGAATCAGTCTGGAGCTGTGCACAGCTCTCCCACAGCTGAGATCAGGTGGCATCTGCAGGGCCAGCAGTGCACAAGCTGAGGGGAAAGGTGGATGAGAAACTATGAATTTGGGTTACTGACTGATATGCCAGTGGTGCAATTGGTGTAAAGATGATGTTACACTTATCCCAGCAGTATGAATTTTCCCAGGCCACTCTTGCTCTTTGCCACTGCATTCCCTTTTCCCGGTAGGTATCTGCTATGCTGCCCAAATCAGCTTTACAAGTTTAACAGGAATTTTTGGTTTGATGTTAATTTTGTTCCTGTAATGGACTTTATAACCACTGGAACTTATATAGACAGCGCATTCAGCGTTCCTGCACACATACAACCTTTCTTGTTGTGTAGTAATTTCTTACAATATTTAAGTCATCTCTTAAGTGAAAGATCAATTTTGCTCGAGCTTTGTGCTCATTAACAAAGTAAATCCCTACCCACAGGCTATGATCGCCTCACACTCGCAGTAACCACTTCCAATCGCGGTGAAAAGGGTGCACTGCATCTTTTAAACTGAGACGGGAGAATTGCCAGTGACCAGAGCTGTTGCATGAGCAGAAAACACCAAGGTTTTGTGGCTCGAATTGTGCAAAAATGAACGCCAGGGAACGAACTGAGCGCGGCAGCTCCAGGGAGCGAGAGTTGGAGCACCAAAGCGGGGGACTGCGGACAGCAGCAAGGCAGCTCGAAACCCCAAACTTCTCGGACCCCGCTGGCCCTACGGTTTCCAAAGGGGGCACAAAACTAGACGGGAAGTGAAAAAGGCCGAAGGGACGAGGGAGATGGGAGAGGCGGTACAAACCTACCAGGGAATTCGTAAGCCTGTTCCGCCAAGTGACGGTAAAGACAACGGTGGAGCGCCTTTTTAAACCGAAGATTGCTGGGCATCAGAAAAGCCCGAGAAGGACGGCCAATGTTTGCGGAGCGCGGGCTTTTCGAAATCTGCTGGGCTTTGGGGGCGGTGCAAGGCTCTTGCCTGCGCAGCTCTCCGCCTCCCTCCCGGCCGATAGCAGATCCACTGCGGGGAGCCGCGGCATCCCCATCCCCATCCCCACTCCCCCTCCCGCTCCCAAGAGCCAAGGGGCCTGGAGCGGTGCCTCTCACTGCCCCGAGGAGCTCCGCTCAGCACGGATTTCCTGCAACGAACGGAAGGGATCTGCACCGACGCTCGGGGATTATTTATTTAAAGAGTTGTTCTGCGGTGAGCTCCGCTACGGTTGTACTCTGCCCCGGCGAAGAACAAGAGCGCAAGTAAGCGGGTCTACCTAAAAGCAGAGGAAAGGGGAAAAAAAAAAAAAACACACACAAAAAAAACCCCAACAACAACAACAAAAAAAAACTTTTAATTGCGCACGGATAACACCAAAACAGACGTAAAAGAAATTTAAGAGTTCCAGCTCTTTTTGTGAAAAGTTGGGTGGCTCTTAAAAGAGCCGTTGGGTTTATCTGCAAGGCAGATACAAGTTTTTTCTGCACCATTTATTTTTTCTTAGGTGCTGCCTTCTTCGCTTTGGCTGTTTTAGGCTTGGCCGCCTTGGGCTTGGCCGCTTTGGGCTTCACCGCTTTCGCCTTAGCCGGGCTCTTCGCTGCTGCTGCCACTTTTTTGGGTTTTGCAGCCTTTGTCACCTTCTTGGGGCTCTTCGCTGCCTTCTTAGCTGTGGCAGCCGCTGGCTTCTTAGCCTTTTTAGGGCTTTTTTTGGCTGTCACCGGCTTCTTCGGCTTTTTGGCGGCGCTGGCGGGCTTCTTAGCCACCGGCTTCTTGGGCTTGGCTGCAGCAGTTTTTTTCTTCGGGGCCTTTTCCTTCACCTCTCCGGGTTTCTTGCTGAGGCGAAAAGAGCCGGAGGCGCCGGTGCCCTTGGTCTGCACCAGGACGCCTTTGCTGACGAGGCTCTTAATGCCCAGCTTGATGCGGCTGTTACTTTTCTCCACATCGTAGCCGCCGGCGGCCAGCGCCTTCTTGAGCGCGGCGAGGGAGAGCCCCTTACGCTCCTTGGAGGCGGACACGGCCTTGGTGATCAGCTCGGTGACGCTGGGCCCCGCGGGCTTGCGGGCTTTGGAGCCGCTCGCCGCCTTCTTCGGCTTCTTGGCGGCGGGAGCTTTGGCCGGGGCCGGGGCGGCGGCGGCGACATCGGGCGCGGCGACGGGAGCGGTCTCGGCCATCTCGGTTCCTGCACGATCCGGGCGAACAATGGAAGCGCCGCCGCCGCCGCCCCTTTTATAGCAGCGCCGCGCGCGCTGATTGGTGCTCGGCGCTCCGCTCCGCCGCCCGGCGCCGCGCCCGTTGTGTTTCTTCAAGGTCCAAAAAGGACTTTTTCTTCAGGAAATTTGCCGCCTGTGCACCCCGTTTCTTGCCGGGAGGGAAGGGGGGAGTCTGTACTACAAGCTAGTGGAGTTTCCCGTTAGAAGGAGCAGAAATGAGGGAAACGCGACCCCTGAAACTTAGCGGTGGGCAGCTGCAGAGACCGCGGCAGAGAGAAACCTTCGGTTTAGACTTTAAATTAAAATTTTACCGTGAGCTAAATGGGCACAACTGGCACAAAATATTGTTCTTTAGAAGGTTCTCTACAAGGCAGGTCAAAAACAGAGTGGTTTGAGCGGTTGGTGTCAGAGTAAATGGCTATTTAATCCGAGGAAGTAACACAGTTCTGCCGCACGGTCCCAGACGCTGATGCAGAGCTGGCTCCCTCGGCTGAGCCGCTTCCCTCCCAAATCACCCCGCTCGGCGTCTCCTCAGAAATCACGGGCTCTCCGCTAATGCCTTTGGGGAGATGTTGGTGCTTTAGCAGCGTGTGTGAAATTCAGTATTACTTTCTTTATGCTTCGGCATTTCAGTGGAACAAGGCACCGACGTGCTCTCTCTGTACACTGATGTTCCTGTCACTGCATTTTCGATACAACCTTAACGAAGTAGCTTTTGTTTGTTAAATTCAGAAATCATGATAACTGCACTTAGTTTATCTGCTTTTAGTGTTAATACGTATAGAGTAATAAGCGTATATTATAAAAGTAATTATTCTTCTCTGTCTCATAATTAATTAAAATGGATTGGGAAGGAAAATCTGGAGTGTACTGCATTTTTAATTGTACGGGGAGTTAAACCTGGAAATTCGTCTTTTGAGGGTATGTTAAGTAGCCAGGAGACTTAAAGCAAAACTGGTTTCTCTGTTTTTAATGAATGAATGTTGATTGCATAAGTTTGTATCTTTGATAACACCATCTGGTGATTCACCATTTCTTTACTCTCAGAAGAAAAGAACCTACACCTTAGCGAGAGGATTCCTGCGCTGAGAAGTGGCAGCTCGATATTACAAACAGTGGATGGATTCTTTCTTTTTTTCTTTTTCTTCTCTTTCAATGTAACGCTGCTTTCTTTCAAACACAGAGCAGTTAACTATCTGCCTGCAGCAGTATTGTGTTCTGTACCCTCCATATCCGGGGCTATCATCAGCTCCTAAAACCCCCACGAGCAGCTATATTCAGAGCTAAAAGAAGGTGTGAAAGGATGAATGAAATGTCGGTAAAACGTAGAGTCCCCGCCCTTTGAGAGTGTGAAAATTAAGAAACACAGTGACTTGAGTAATTTGAGAAATGTCATGTTCTTTTCTTATTACCCGTGTTTTACTGAAAAATCTTAACTGCTACAATCAGAGGAAATACTAGATTTATTCTAGTAATTTGAAATACCTTTTTTCCCTGCTTGAAGGTAAATGTTGAAAAAATACAGCTTAGTGAGGTCTCCCTTAGTAAACCTATAAAACAAAGGTAAATGCACTTTTTGGATAATAATAACAAGCATAACAAAACCGTGGTGTGAGCCTGCAGAATGTTGCATTGTTTCTTGATTAATCACAGAAATGAGAAAATAAATGTAATACCCATTTAATCTGATACTTATTTCCTACAGTGGGGGAGGATTAAGGCCTTTTGTGACACTGCTGAACACTATCAGAATGCTGAAAATATTCTTTATCTAAGCTAGTAATACTAACCCCATAGCCAAAAACAAGTTCAAAACCTCCCACAGGCAGTAGTGCTAAGATCTGTAGTTGTCCAGTCCCTTGATATTCGTATATAAGTGGTTCATTTGTGTCAAGATATTCACATTTATTGGCAGCTTTCTGTCCAATTTCTGGGCTGTACAAGAACTGTTGTAATCTTGAACAATCCTTGAAAGGCTTGGTGATCCTTTTCTTTCTTCCTACTTCTTTGTGGCAGAAAAGAATTCTGAGATTCCTGGAAAAATAAACAGAACATTAGTATTTTCCATTATTTTCATTTTCATGATTGTATATTGATTTACTTAGAAACTGGAAAGTGTTTGCAATTGTGATTCTACTCGCTCAAGCTCATCTCTCCTTCATGTAAGATATCACTGAGCCTTGGAGATAATCTCTACCTACTGTGAGAGACCAAGAAATTACATTGTCAGTGTGGGGCAGTGGATGCTAATAGGAAATGAACCATTATGAACTCCTATTCAGCGGAGACCAAAACAAAGGTGAGCATAAGACAGAAGGGCAGACCAGAGTGTTGATTCAAGTCAGAGATAATTTGTCTTTTTTCCTCAAATGTATTTTGCTTTTGGATATTCAAGTGTCATAGCTTAGAAACATCCAAGTATTTGTATTGTAATCAAATAAGTGGGCTTTAATTTCTCAGCCACTGTGGACTTAAATTTATTTTTTCAGACACAATAAAAAAACCAAAAAAAGAGGAACATCTGCTCAACACAGCAAGTTGGTGCATTTGCATATGTATACCAGGAAGGCTTCCCAAGGCTTTGATACTCCTTCATTTCTTCACATAGAAGTTGTGTTTGGGTATCATCACTCCATTCACCTTCCCCATATTTTTAAAATCAGCAAAAGTCAAGAGAAACATCAAAATATTTTAGTAAAATATTGTTGCTTTTCTTCCAGGGAATAAATATGCTTATGAATTAGCACAGGCCTATACAGAGATTCTACACAGAATTGTTTTAGAAGGTTAATAGAGGGGGAAAGAAAAATTAAACCACCATTGTGAAGTGGGTTCATGCTCTGCATCAAAATCCCACACATGCTGTAAATTAATTCAACTTTATGCAGATTGCTCAATGAAATTGGACATCTACCCTTGCTCGTGTTCTGAAGATGAAAAGTCTAGGTAGTAAGAAATTATTGTTTTTCTGTGCTTTAATGACAAATTTTAAAGCTGATGCCTAGCACAGGTCTTTTAATGTAAAATAAACAACGAGTCTTTGCTACTTCTGCATAAATAAGGAAAAGGCTACCACTATTTTCCTCTGTGCCCACTGACATTTATTTTCCTTAATGACTAGTAAAGTGAAAATGTCCTACAAGTGTAGATTTAGTATTTCCATTACCCCATGCCTAAATGAACAGTACTCCAATTCTTCACCAAGTGTTGTGGCTTCCACAATGGTGAGGCTCCCCGCTTGGTTGTACAGCAATCTTATTTTATCAATCTGATAATTTCTGGGTATAGGCCAAGACCTATGTTGAGATACGCACTTCAAAATTCTAAAGAACTCTGTATTCCACACTTGAAAGACATACAATTTTAATTTTTTTTTCTCGTGGAATTGAACATGCCTCATTTTCAGAAAATAAAACAGTTTTTAAGTAACAGAAATTCAAATTCACACTATTCAAATACAAATGAAAACTATATTGCTATCTCTTATTATTTGTCCACTAATCCTCTTGAGAGGACAGAAATCCTCTTGGTCAGCATGCAGAAACACAAATGGACAGTAATTGTTTTTCCCCTCTTAAGTGGAACACAAGGGGTTTCTGATGCAGCATAAGACCTAAATCTGCTGCTGGAGTTGGCAAAAAGAAGCAAATTGTGAGAAGGGACATTTTATGCTTTGTCAGCTGTACAGATCTAGTAATAAGCATGGACTACAAAGAGCCACTTTCCAGGTTAGATTCCCAAAGCTGACTGAAGAATGTTGTGACCTACGTGGTTTTCTAAAAAGCACGTTAGAGCTCTTCCCAGAATTGTAGTGGTAGGAGGTAAGTGAGGCCTCCTGCTCTACAGCCAATGAATAGGCATTGCCCTTTGGAAACTCCAGATATGGCACAAGCAGATAAAGGTTTCATACAGTGTAGTGAGGGAGGTCAATGATGTTTGCAAAATTTCTAACCTATGTGGATTTTCTTTCCTTTTCCTTCATATGATAAAATCACTTCATGGAGTTCCCCTACTCCATGGATACCAGGTAACTGAATTCCTCATACTGTGTAACAGACCAGACTCTGCTGGTTACTTTAGACCACACTCCAAGTCTTTCCCCATTGAATGGAATGTCTGCTTGCCTGTTTCAAAACTTACTAAATCTATGTTGTAGTTTTAACAAAATACATCACCCACTGTAACATCAAAACATGTTTTTTTTCCTTTTCAGTTTCTATTAAACTAAATTAAAACATCAATTGTTTCTTCTAAATAAAAGAGACTTACATTCCTCCTTCTTTTTTGATGTTCCTCTTGTCTTAATACTGTTGCATTAAAATCTCTTTACTGAGCATTTACAAAAGAGGAATATTTATTTTTAACCTAATGGTGTAAATTGCACATGAATAAAGCAAAGCTTCCAAGAGAACTTTCTTCTAGTCTTCGACCCTTGAAATTTTGAGTAAACAACCAAAATTCAGGGAAAAGTGTGTTCCTGATGCCTTTCAGTACTGTGAAGATTTTAATCCTTGCACATAAAAGGAGATTATCAGGTGGATTCTTGAAGCATGCATTGAAGTAGACAAAACAGGGGAAGATAACTAGATGGCTCATTAGTGAGTGAAAATATTATTCAAAAAATGCAAAACAAAAATTTAATGTTCGTGAAACCTTGCTTTCTAAGGCTTTACATATCTGTAAGCATTTGGGGGCATACAAACCCCTGGGCAGCCATTTCACAACAATTTCTGCTGTTTCCTGTGGCTAGAAGTAATGTTGAGATTCAGTTTACTGCTGACATGCCCCCATTTCACATATACACTGCTGCTCCTCACTCACTGAAGAAACTTAGTGTTTGTAACATACAAATCAAAATATCTTCCACATAAAATAATAGTTTGGCATTGATTTTCTGAAAGAAAAAAAAATAACCAAACAAAAAACAACCAAGCCAAAAACAAACCAATCAAAAAACCAAACAGCCCAAAACCCCTCAGGAAAACATAACACCCTCCCCTCAACAAACTACATGTAGGAAAACTTAAACAGGGGAAATAAATTAAGAAAAACTATAGGAAATTATTTAATAATTGTTATGATTAATTAACACAATACTTGCCATGGTTAGCCCGTGGCTTTATACATTATTAAGCTATTCATTATTTTTTAGTATCTATATATGTATATTCACATGAAGCATTGCTTAAAAGGGTTCCAGATTATATGTAGGCCCAAAACACATATGTAAAAAAGGAGAAAGACTACTGAAGTGGGCATATGCTTTTCTGGCAATTATTTTCACTATAAGCTGTACTTGGTTAAGTTTCTTTATAATGTACTGTCATATGAGTTTCCAGTAAACAGTGCACAGCATAAGAGGAAGAAGAGATTAAGAGGATTTAGTACGACTCACTGAAGGAAGTAAACCAAAATTAAATTATATAAGATCTGCGTCCATGCTTGGAAAAAATTATTGCCCCCAAAAGGTAGTCTATATATACCCAAAATTGACAGGCAAAAAAAAAAATGTAGTATTGAAGGCAAAACAACACAGTAAGGTAGAAAATATTCGTTGTAAATCTGAAAGTGCAACAAAAGAGGAAGACAAATATAGGTTTCTGCTATGATATCTGGAAGGAAAAGTGATGTGGCAGTGTTAGAAAGAGGTTACATGCTGCGCGGCAGGTAGCAGGAAAGAAGAGGGCGAAGTTCACAAAGTGGCTCCTAAGGCTTTTCGCTTTTTGGAAACAGGGTACCGGGAGAGCGCAGCGCCAACACACTCTAAAGGTTCCTGGAGTCGGCAAAGCCGGGCAAGCCCCAGCGCAAGGCCGAAGTGGGCTGCAACCCTCCGAAGAACGTGGGACTGCACACACCGAGCCCAGATCTACAGCACCGCGGGAACCGGCTAAAACACCATACACAGATCTGGGGGTGGTGGCAGGACGGAGGGGACGAAGCAGAGAAAGGCGGTTCGGGGGAAGCGGGGGGCTGGGGGAACGCGAGCGAGGTGGGCGGAGCGGGGACGGCGGAGGCGGAGCGGGGAGGGCGCGGAGGAGCCGCCAGGGCCGGGAGGAGCCCGGCAGCGCCAAAGGGGCGGAGGCGCAGGCGCGGCCCCGCGCGCCGTGCCCGCCCCTGCTCCCAACCAGGTCGGATCGCGCCGTATAAAAGCTCGGGCCGCGGGCGGCGCCGCCTCACAGCAGCCGCGTCGGTGGCAGCAGCGCCCAGAGTGTGACAATGTCTGGCCGGGGGAAGGGCGGCAAGGGGCTCGGCAAGGGCGGCGCCAAGCGCCACCGCAAGGTGCTGCGCGACAACATCCAGGGCATCACCAAGCCCGCCATCCGCCGCCTGGCTCGGCGCGGCGGCGTCAAGCGCATCTCGGGGCTCATCTACGAGGAGACGCGCGGCGTGCTCAAGGTCTTCCTGGAGAACGTGATCCGCGACGCCGTCACCTACACGGAGCACGCCAAGAGGAAGACGGTCACGGCCATGGACGTGGTCTACGCCCTCAAGCGCCAGGGTCGCACCCTCTACGGCTTCGGCGGCTAAGCTCGGTTCTTGCTACATTTTAGCGCTTTTATAACACAAAGGCTCTTTTAAGAGCCGCCCACTTATTTCTCAAAAAGAACTGTGTCGCTGTATTGGGCTTTTGCATTTGATGCTGGTTGTTTTTCCCTAACACTGCACCTGTCGTCCCTCTCTCTGCCGCGCTTTGGGTAGGTCGGCTTGCTGTTCCTCAGCGGCTTTTAGGAAAGGGAAAAAAAACCCCACACAGGTCAAAATTAAATAACCCTTCCCTATGAAAATTACAGCAACAATAGTATGCTTAAGTTCTCCACGATAAGGCAGTTGCACCATTCTGTTCCTTATTCCCGGCCCGTGACTCAAAGGCAGCTGCAGATCCAGCCGCAGCGCCCAGCAGTAACGCCGTGGCGGAGGTTCTTGGCTCTTGCGGCCGCCGCTGCCGCCCGGGGGAGCGCGGGCCCGCGGCCGGGGAGGGTTCGGCGCCCGCGCCGTTTCCAAAAGCCCGCGCAGCCCACGATTGGCTACGGCACATCCCGCGCTCCCCCCGCCCGCGCTCGTCCCAGCACAGCAGCTCCCTGTGCGCCGGGAACAGTGCTCCGACCCATCCCGGCCCACGACGATAAACGCGGCCAGGCAGAACCGGCCCGGGCTGGCTACAGCAAACACACGCAAAACACACAGATACACACACAGACATACAGAGCCAAACACAGGCACCCTTTCCCTCTCCCCTGGCACCATGGCCGCAGCAATTCAAGCTCTTTCTCGAGGCTGTGGGTGGCTCTGAAAAGAGCCTTTGGGTTTCGCTTCTGGGCTCCGGACGCTTCCGCCGCCTGGTTTACTTGCTCTTGGCTTTGTGGCTCTCAGTCTTCTTGGGCAGCAGCACGGCCTGGATGTTGGGCAGCACGCCGCCCTGCGCGATCGTCACCTTGCCCAGCAGCTTGTTGAGCTCCTCGTCGTTGCGGATGGCGAGCTGCAGGTGGCGGGGGATGATGCGCGTCTTCTTGTTGTCGCGGGCCGCGTTGCCCGCCAGCTCCAGGATCTCGGCCGTCAGGTACTCCAGCACGGCCGCCAGGTACACCGGCGCGCCGGCGCCCACGCGCTCCGCGTAGTTGCCCTTGCGCAGCAGCCGGTGCACGCGGCCCACGGGGAACTGCAGCCCGGCCCGCGACGAGCGCGACTTGGCCTTGGCGCGCGCCTTGCCGCCCTGCTTCCCCCGCCCGGACATCTTTCTTCGCTCGCTCGCTCTGCCGACAAGCTCCCGCCGACACCCAAAAACAGCACCGCCGCCACGGCCGCCCTGAGTCCTCCGCCTTTATATCCCCTCCCTTCGCGCGGCTGCCGCCTCCTGATAGGCCGAGACCTCCTATCGGGGCACGCACTGCCCAATGGCGTAGCGAATCTCACCCCGACCAATCGCGAGGGGCGCAGCGCCCAAAGGCTCCTCTCGCGCCTTCCGCGCGGCCAATGACGAGTCACGGCGGGCGGGCCCCGGCCTCGCCCGCGGGAACCGTCGCTCCCGCCGCCGCTGCCGCCCGGACTGGGGGGGCCGCGCTGCCTCGTCCCGCACCGTGTTCGCTCTCTCCCGTGTCTTACTATGCTTTTAAAGCAGCCGGTCTCCACAGTGCCGGTCGCGGGGACCGAGTCGAGGAAACAAAGGGGCAAACAGAGACAGCGCGGCGGTGTCCCTGAGGGGCAAAAGCGGGACAGAGGGGACACGCACGGACTGAGGGATCAGTCCATGGTGGGTTTTTTCCCCTCTATTGCACGCGATTTTAACATCTTTTCGATCCTGTTTTGGAGCTTATAAAGCGTCATACACTTCCCCGCATCGGAAAAACAGAAACCTGTCGTTTGTATCCCAAAATATAGAGGTATGAAATCTAACACTCACTTCCATTCACTCTGGATTTTAAACTTTTAGTGGGGTTTTGGTTAAGAGTCCCTAAAAACATAATGCAAACCTCAGTGTTACAGCTCCTTTTATTGTAAATGTAGTGGCTCTTAAAAGAGCCTTTGTGGTAATTAATTTTTTTTTTTAAACAGGTTAGTTCTGACAAGGCTTATGCACGCTCGCCGCGAATGCGGCGGGCCAGCTGGATGTCCTTGGGCATGATGGTGACGCGCTTGGCGTGGATGGCGCACAGGTTGGTGTCCTCGAAGAGCCCCACCAGGTAGGCCTCGCTGGCCTCCTGCAGCGCCATGACGGCCGAGCTCTGGAAGCGCAGGTCGGTCTTGAAGTCCTGCGCGATCTCGCGCACCAGCCGCTGGAAGGGCAGCTTGCGGATCAGCAGCTCCGTGGACTTCTGGTAGCGCCGGATCTCGCGCAGCGCCACCGTGCCGGGCCGGTAGCGGTGCGGCTTCTTGACGCCGCCCGTGGCCGGCGCGCTCTTGCGGGCAGCCTTGGTGGCCAGCTGCTTGCGGGGCGCCTTGCCGCCCGTCGACTTCCGCGCCGTCTGCTTCGTGCGCGCCATCGCTCAAAATGCAACCAACCAAGCAGTAAGCAACAACAGCAATGAATTCCTGCCTGTATTCGGGAAGTATTTATAGCACTGCTGCGTCCTCTGATAGGCCGGCGGGTAGATGCTGAATTTCATTGGTGGATTCAAATTTTAAAATTCCCGCCCTCACCAGATTCCGCCTACCATTATCCGGCTCTGTTTTGAGTACTTTGTGTTCTTGTAAAAATCTACAATGCAGAGTATTATCATTTGCGAAATCTCTTCGACTTGGTATTGTTTTTAACTGACAAAATATGACTTCAGTGTTAAATCACGCACGCCTTAAAACTATTTTTTACATTTTGCAAGCTTAGAATTGTACCTTGCTAATTAAGTTACTTTATCATTTTTAAGTGTGAAATTTTCACTTCTTTTTTAGGAGATATGTTTGTGCTGCCCTAACAAAAAACCAAAGTTGTTTAAAGGTATTTGTATCTTTATTTAGATATTACCCAAAATATAAAGGGGAAAAGAAAGTAGTTGAAAATATATACTTGAAATGAATAATGAAAAGGGATATGAAATAACTAATTTCAGTCCAAGAATGAAAACTATTCAGAGCTTTCAGTTCTTATTGGTAATACATTGATATGTTAACATTATTAAGCAGTTATGAAATTGTGAGCTATGGCTAGGAATCAAAGCTTCTAACTGAAGGTTTAGATTCCGTTTCAGTTTTACGTTTAGAGGCTCTTTATAAATAAAGTCCCGCTAAAAAGGTAGGAGGGCATTGCTTCCTTGTCAGTCCATGCGTGTCCCCTCTGTCCTGCTTTTATCCCTCAGGGACACCGCCGCGCTGTCTCTGTTTGCCCCTTTGTTTCCTCGACTCGGTCCCCGCGACCGGCACTGTGGAGACCGGCGGCTTTAAAAGCATAGTAAGACACGGGAGAGAGCGAACACGGTGCGGGACCGCGCGGCGGCGGCGGCGGGAGCGCCGGTTCCCGCGGGCGGGGCCGGGGCCCGCCCGCCGTGACTCGTCATTGGCCGCGCGGAAGGCGCGAGAGGAGCCTTTGGGCGCTGCGCCCCTCGCGATTGGTCGGGGTGAGATTCGCTACGCCATTGGGCAGTGCGTGCCCCGATAGGAGGTCTCGGCCTATCAGGAGGCGGCAGCCGCGCGAAGGGAGGGGATATAAAGGCGGAGGACTCAGGGCGGCCGTGGCGGCGGTGCTGTTTTTGGGTGTCGGCGGGAGCTTGTCGGCAGAGCGAGCGAGCGAAGAAAGATGTCCGGGCGGGGGAAGCAGGGCGGCAAGGCGCGCGCCAAGGCCAAGTCGCGCTCGTCGCGGGCCGGGCTGCAGTTCCCCGTGGGCCGCGTGCACCGGCTGCTGCGCAAGGGCAACTACGCGGAGCGCGTGGGCGCCGGCGCGCCGGTGTACCTGGCGGCCGTGCTGGAGTACCTGACGGCCGAGATCCTGGAGCTGGCGGGCAACGCGGCCCGCGACAACAAGAAGACGCGCATCATCCCCCGCCACCTGCAGCTCGCCATCCGCAACGACGAGGAGCTCAACAAGCTGCTGGGCAAGGTGACGATCGCGCAGGGCGGCGTGCTGCCCAACATCCAGGCCGTGCTGCTGCCCAAGAAGACTGAGAGCCACAAAGCCAAGAGCAAGTAAACCAGGCGGCGGAAGCGTCCGGAGCCCAGAAGCGAAACCCAAAGGCTCTTTTCAGAGCCACCCACAGCCTCGAGAAAGAGCTTGAATTGCTGCGGCCATGGTGCCAGGGGAGAGGGAAAGGGTGCCTGTGTTTGGCTCTGTATGTCTGTGTGTGTATCTGTGTGTTTTGCGTGTGTTTGCTGTAGCCAGCCCGGGCCGGTTCTGCCTGGCCGCGTTTATCGTCGTGGGCCGGGATGGGTCGGAGCACTGTTCCCGGCGCATAGGGAGCTGCTGTGCTGGGACGAGCGCGGGCGGGGGGAGCGCGGGATGTGCCGTAGCCAATCGTGGGCTGCGCGGGCTTTTGGAAACGGCGCGGGCGCCGAACCCTCCCCGGCCGCGGGCCCGCGCTCCCCCGGGCGGCAGCGGCGGCCGCAAGAGCCAAGAACCTCCGCCACGGCGTTACTGCTGGGCGCTGCAGCTGGATCTGCAGCTGCCTTTGAGTCACGGGCCGGGAATAAGGAAAAGAATGGTGCAACGGCCTTATTGCTGAGAACCTAAGCATACTATTGTTGCTGTAATTTTCATAGGGAAGGGTTATTTAATTTTGACCTGTGTGGGTTTTTTTTCCCTTTCCTAAAAGCCGCTGAGTAACAGCAAGCCGACCTACCCAAAGCGCGGCAGAGAGAGGGACGACAGGTGCAGTGTTAGGGAAAAACAACCAGTACCAAATACAAAAGCCCAAAACACAGCAACACAGCTCTTTTCAAGAAATACGTGGGTGGCTCTGAAAAGAGCCTTTGTGTTATAAAAGCGCTAAGATGTAGTAAAAACCGAGCTTAGCCGCCGAAGCCGTAGAGGGTGCGACCCTGGCGCTTGAGGGCGTAGACCACGTCCATGGCCGTGACCGTCTTCCTCTTGGCGTGCTCCGTGTAGGTGACGGCGTCGCGGATCACGTTCTCCAGGAAGACCTTGAGCACGCCGCGCGTCTCCTCGTAGATGAGCCCCGAGATGCGCTTGACGCCGCCGCGCCGAGCCAGGCGGCGGATGGCGGGCTTGGTGATGCCCTGGATGTTGTCGCGCAGCACCTTGCGGTGGCGCTTGGCGCCGCCCTTGCCGAGCCCCTTGCCGCCCTTCCCCCGGCCAGACATTGTCACACTCTGGGCGCTGCTGCCACCGACGCGGCTGCTGTGAGGCGGCGCCGCCCGCGGCCCGAGCTTTTATACGGCGCGATCCGACCTGGTTGGGAGCAGGGGCGGGCACGGCGCGCGGGGCCGCGCCTGCGCCTCCGCCCCTTTGGCGCTGCCGGGCTCCTCCCGGCCCTGGCGGCTCCTCCGCGCCCTCCCCGCTCCGCCTCCGCCGCCCCCGCTGCGCCCGCCTCGCTCGCG